AAGCTGTCAGATTCAAGAGCTAAGAATCAAGGAGAAACTGCAAGGCACACTTCAACGAAGTTGGGATTGTCAGCCTGAGCCTCATTGGAGATTTCTGTTTTTTTTTTTTCATTGCAGGATATATCGAAATCAGTGTCTACTTGAAGAGGGCCTGATCCTTAGTCCACTAGGCGTTTTGAGTTCGTAAAAAAGGCAGGATCTGGCTCGTAATCACGTTTTGTCAGCAGGAGTCTGGTATAAAATGTTTGTTTATATTAGGTATTAACCAGCCTTCCAGCACAATATTGTTTTGATAGAGAAATATTCTGTATTGTGATCCATCCTTGTTTTATTTTGTCAGTAATTACAGTAATATCAAACGGGTCATTGATAAGATTCCCGTCACACAAACCCCTGTAATTAGCTGCCTGAATACACCTTTTTGCGTTACATAAAAGTTGTAATTTTCAAGTCTGTTCTGGGTGGGTTTTTTTTTCGGTGAAGGCACACACATGTCATATGTGCTAATCAGGATGCAAAATACGAAATGTATTACAAAATGTAAGTATATGTTGTCTTATCTTGTCTGTTTTAAGAGATGATCGACCACTGCTTTTCACAAGATACCTTACTCAAAAATAATTTGCACAACAGTATGCCGAATAACCGACACCCTGGTATACAGCAAATATTTTGTAACTCTGTTTTTGTGAGGTTTAACTTTTAAAGCACGAAAAAGAACAACTAAAGTGGGCAAGAAACAGACGTTCTTAGAACCTTAGGCTTTCAAATCGGGCTTCTGTTCTGTGGATCATTAAGATCTATCACCAAGCTTTGGAAACACAGTACAGTGTTGCTTGCAAAGCAAGAGAAAGACAGTATCTCACGACTTTATGGCGCGTCGCTTAGAAAAATTGGAATGCAAACATTGTAACTAAAATATTTCTATCTGACATCCTCTCTTGTCAGCCAAAAATAGAAAAGGCCTCACTCAGTCAAAGAGGCAGACAAGTCAGAACGAATTTATATGAAATAAAGTAAATAAATAAATAAAGAAGAGAAATCGCAGAAGCTTTTTTTCTGGCGGACCATCCCAGTTATTGCAAATTAGATTAGCTACACAAGCTTCAATATAAACATGACATGAGGTTCACGGGAGAGTGAAAGGATCATCCACTCCAATCTCTCTTTTCATCGAAGCATCTCACATAAATTACATCTTGTCCTTTAATACACTTTTCAATGAGATTAAAACATCACTTTGACACAATTTCAAGCCTTTTCAGTCACATCCAGTGCTTACTTCAGAAAACAGCAAACAAGGGGAAAAGTAGAAACATCTAAATAATCTCAAAATGTTATTCTGGAAGTTAAAAACACCCAGAGGAAATAAATGATCCCTATGCTCCATCTAAAGCCATTAGCGTAGGCATCTAAAGGCATCAAACTAACTCCAAGCAAAGAGAATAATCGTATTTCCTTTGCAGCAAGTGGAGATATCATGACTACTTGGCTGCAGTTAGGAGACTCCCTTTCGCCGTGTTTATTTGCCTCTGGGCGAGTGTTTTGGGGGAAAATATTCATTTTACAAGATCAAGACCCGGTCTTTCACATTACACCTGCACATTGTTAATGAGGTGTATCTCGTGCCCACTGTAATGCTGGTGTGCTATAGAATTACGCGCGCCTCTACAAATAAATATTTTACACCATGAACTTTGGGGAGGCTGCAAAAAATGGTGCTGGGACCGCTTTATTAACAACAGCTCCGTGTGGGAAAAGAAAGCGATTTACAACTTCCTACGTTGGTTCTCCAACTGAAACCAACGGAGCTGGTGCAAAAGGCGAGATGTACACAACCCTTCCGCCCCCCCAGAATCCGGATTCTAGAATCTAGTTAAGAACACTCTCTGTGCTATGAATCTATACAGGTCACACCTGGTTTCTTTGCTTCCAAGTATCATACTAGCCTTTCTCGTTTTCCTCGGTGTCATGTATATTACTACTGTGCAATCAGTTCTGGGCGCCTAACGCTGTTTTTAAAGGCGCTTCAGATGACAACGGCTATTTATTTTTAAATTGATGATCGGTGTTTATTAATCTAATTACTAATCCTTTTGGGATGGACAGTGCTCTGCATGCATCCCGAGCCCGAGGGACTGAACGCCTACAACTTTCCCTTCTCCTGATTCCTAACGTTTGAAATTAGTTTGGTCCGGATCGCATTTCACTAACCCACATTCCACTGGTTTGTTTCACGGGAAAGGGTTTCCACACCGTAGTGTGCGCAGGATCGTGTGTGTCCTGTGCTTTGCGTACAGCCACCCGATATCCGCCACTCCTCGGTTGCGCCGTAACCCCCAGCACTTGGTTAGGATGGTCCTGAGACCGGGCAATAGCCCTCCCTCCCCTCTTCTTCAAGGCGCACGTGGAGCCGACTCCATGGCTTGCAGATATTGCAGGCTCATGGGGAACCCTGCGTTCTCATGGGGCGGTCTGCCCCGGTCCCGGAGAGCCCCTCTCCCAAGAGGGCTTTACTTTGAACACTTGTCCCGGGGTTTCATTTCCTACCATCTACACGTGCGGCAGGTGTCCTCACTCCAGGGGCTCCTAGCTACCAAGGCACGACTTGCTTTAGACAGAAAACCCGCTATTTGGCTCCCAACTGTACCTCATTGTCACATCCAATTCAAGCCATAGGCGCTCAGGTTAAAGTAGATGTTGGAATATGTACAAAGCAGTGCAACTGAATTACCCGCAAGCCGCCCGTTCCTGGATAGTCCCAAGCGTGCGCTAGCTGGGACAGAGAACACCTGCATATTGTGTAAAGTTGGGACCAACTTTTTAAGGTGAAGCGGTGGAGGGGGAAGTGGCAGGCAAAGCGTTTTCCTATTGTAGCCAGCCTGCCCGATGAAGTTTATCTCGATCGGTAAAACAGCTATTATCTACCAAAGCTAAGCTAATTAACCACGATCTATATTTTGTGGTCGGCAACCGGCGCTCGTTTAGGAGGTCTGGCGTGGGTCGCGGTTTACTTTCCCGCAACTTTGTTTAATGACAAGAAGCATTTCCCATGACCCTTTCTCTGGTGGCTACTGTAAATATCAAGATCTTGCTTTCGCCTCGCCCCAATCACACCCACCCACGCCTTAACAAAGAGGCTTTCAAAGCAAACGCGCTACTGCAGCCTGCGGGAATCAATGCGAGAAAACGGGTTTTTAATGGGTTAATTGACTGGAGTAGCTATCAGGTTGAAACACCTGTTTCTGAAAGGAGAGGCAGCCAAATCCTGTCCCCTCCCCAATCGATAGCTGCAGATCTTTGCCCTGTTGAGCCGCCAAAACAAAACAAAAATCCAGTTCACCCTTTAAACTGCGAGACACTTTCTGGCAACCAGAAGGGGAGGCCACACAGAGAACTTGCAACAGCTCCGAGCCAGAGGCTAATCTCTGGGCTCAAGCCCATGCCAGCTTGCCCCCAGGAATTGGGAGTTTCTTTAGCGGTACTTATTGAGGAGTGGCTCCGGTCCTTTTACAGCATGGAACTGAACGAGGACGCGGTATCACAGGCGGGGAGGGCTAGATTTCCGCGCAGCGGGGCGCGCCCCCTTTCCACCAGGCTCCGACCCCAAGGGAATTGGAGCAGATCAGCGTCTTTGCTTCCCGAAGTTCGCGGGGAAGTGGCGAGCAGGTGTTGCTCAGCCAGGCTGCAGGAGAAACGCGCCCGGCCCCTGTGAATGCGCCTGGCGAGGGGCAGGGAGGTCCAAGGCATTAGTTCTAATTGCTTCCGCGCAGCGGGGCGCGCCCCCTTTCCACCAGGCTCCGACCCCAAGGGAATTGGAGCAGATCAGCGTCTTTGCTTCCCGAAGTTCGCGGGGAAGTGGCGAGCAGGTGTTGCTCAGCCAGGCTGCAGGAGAAACGCGCCCGGCCCCTGTGAATGCGCCTGGCGAGGGGCAGGGAGGTCCAAGGCATTAGTTCTAATTGCTGCGGGCTATTGATTTCTCTGGCGGTATTAATACAGCCAGGCCCGCCGGCCAGGCAGCGCGCGATTGATTCCTTGCCCAAAACACCTTTCACTAAATGGCACCCGCGCTTCGACATGTTAATTCCGCCCCCCCCCCCCGGCCCCCGG